GGAGGACCGCTGGGGGACGGCGGGAGTTTAGCCCCTTCCTCTCTGGAGCAGTTTCGCGTTCTCCAAGCCCCTCTCACAGGTAGGACCACGCTCCTGGGTCTAGCCTACGTGGACTGCCAGGCTGTAAATAGAGTAGGAGGCATTTGAATAACCCGTACGTGTCTAACTACGCTTGGCGCTATTTTTACAGAGGTGGGAGGGGGGCAGAACTTTTGGTTGCTTTTGCTGCGTTCTGTGGCCAGTTATTCCAGAGGGAATACGTCGGTGGTGGAGGAGGGGAGAGGCTGGTGGAGGAGACAGATGCAGAAGGGGAAGTGACGGACTTTATCTTTGGACAGGTGGCCATGGCCTCACTGCCCACTCGGGGCCCTGGGGTCCCCGACTTGTTTTCTGGGCTGCTGCCAGCGGTCACGACTCCGGCCAACCAGAGCGCAGAGGCCTCGGCGGCCAATGGGTCGGCGGGCGGCCCCGGAGCGCAGGCCATCACGCCCTTCCAGAGCCTGCAGCTGGTGCATAAGCTGAAGGGGCTCATAGTGCTGCTCTACAGCGTCGTGGTGGTCGTGGGGCTGGTGGGCAACTGCCTGCTGGTGCTGGTGATCGCGCGGGTGCGCCGGCTGCACAACGTGACCAACTTCCTCATCGGCAACCTGGCCTTGTCCGACGTGCTCATGTGCGCCGCCTGCGTGCCGCTCACGCTGGCCTACGCCTTCGAGCCGCGCGGCTGGGTGTTCGGCGGCGGCCTGTGCCACCTGGTCTTCTTTCTGCAGCCGGTCACCGTGTACGTGTCGGTGTTCACGCTCACCACCATCGCGGTGGACCGCTACGTCGTGCTGGTGCACCCGCTGCGCCGGCGCATCTCGCGGCGCCTCAGCGCCTACGCGGTGCTGGCCATCTGGGCGCTGTCCGCGGTGCTGGCGCTGCCCGCGGCCGTGCACACCTACCACGTCGAGCTCAAGCCGCACGACGTGCGCCTCTGTGAGGAGTTCTGGGGTTCGCAGGAGCGCCAGCGCCAGCTTTACGCCTGGGGGCTGCTGCTCGTCACCTACCTGCTTCCCCTGCTGGTCATCCTCCTGTCCTACGCCCGCGTGTCGGTGAGGCTGCGGAACCGCGTGGTGCCGGGCTGCGTGACGCAGAGCCAGGCCGACTGGGACCGCGCGCGGCGCCGCCGCACCTTCTGCTTGCTGGTGGTGGTCGTGGTGGTGTTCGCTGTCTGCTGGCTGCCGCTGCACGTCTTCAACCTGCTGCGGGACCTGGACCCCCGCGCCATCGACCCCTACGCCTTCGGGCTCGTGCAGCTGCTCTGCCACTGGCTGGCCATGAGTTCGGCCTGCTACAACCCCTTCATCTACGCCTGGCTCCACGACAGCTTCCGCGAGGAGCTGCGCAAGCTGTGGCTCGCCTGGCCCCGCAAGATCGCTCCGCGCGGCCAGAGCATGACCGTCAGCGTGGTCATCTGACGTCGCCGCGCCAGCCTCGGCCGAGGAGCCCGACGCCAGCAGGCCCTCGGGCATGCCGCCCGCGGCTGGGCTGGAGAGGTTACTCCCAGGACCCGAGCGAGGCCAGCACAGGGCAACGTTTCCAGCCCAGCCTGGCGTCCAGGGGCCTGTCTTGTCCTTGTGTCTTTGTAAAATGTTAAGTGGGCTCTGGGGAGAGTCTTGTTCTTTGCTTAGAAGAGGCCAGGGAGAGGAAAGAGGGTTGATTATTTCTTCCTCGTGCCTTGAAGGACAAAGCTCCTTCTTTGGGTTCAGGAAAGCATTGCGGAACCATGGTTGTCTTCCTTTTTTTGCTCAAGGGTGAGATGAAGGAACAATGTATGTGGGATTTTAAATGACTGTGCTGGGCTTGACAAGGCTTTTCAATTTGCCATTTTATTTTATTTATTTATTTTTATTTATTTATTTTTGAGTTGGAGTCTCACTTGGTCGCCCAGACTGGAGTGCAGTGGCCACTCCCGGCCACCGCAGCCTCGACCTGCTGGGCTCCGGCGATCCTTCCGCCTCAGCCTTCCGAGTAGCCGGAATTACAGGCATGCGCTATCACGCCCGGCTGATTTTTTTGATTTATTGTAGAGATGAGGTCTCGCCTGCCCAGGCGGGTCTCGAACCCGCGGGCTCAGGCAATCCACTCACCTCAGCCTCCCAAAGGCGCAGGATTACAGGCTGAGCCACCGAGCCCTGCTCAATTTGCCATTTTAAAACAACCTAGCTGAGAGGACCTTCATAGTGCTTAGTAAGTTTGAACCCTTGAATTTTTAGGATTTCAGGTAAATATATATTACAAACCTACATTTAGGAAGAAGACCTGTATACACCAAAGGGTTTTAATTTTAAAACCTCTTGAATGTATAGTACAAAACCACCTACAAGCCACTTTCAACAGATCTTGTTTTTGTTTTCCCTCCTCATTCCCCAGCTACTATTTAAAAATGAGGTGTATTAGTCAATGAAGAGACAGATAAATAGAGGTAGACGAGGAAAAGGACCAATTCATTTAAGAGGACACTTAACTGTGCCTAAGGACATTGTGTGTGTGTGTGTGTGTGTGTGTGTGTGTGTATGCACATGTGCACACATACACACCCAGTGTTTGCCACAAGGCATACACATAAGTATTTGATTTTCTGAATACTTGATGTAAACTGTGTGCCACAGCATTCTCTTGCATTCCATAATTGCTCAGTTGCAACAGATCAACAGCTGTCATCTGACTGCTCAGTACCTGCTCTGTAGTGATACTTGGACTTTGACCAACCCAGAACATGAGGACTGGGAACACTTATGTTTAAGGACAGAACAGAAGAATTAGCTGATGCCCACATGATGTGTAGCTCAAACACTAATTACGTCCAGGGCTAAAAGAGCAGGTGGAGACCGTTGGGCATGATTCCAGGCTGGTCATCATCACTTTAGCCTCCTGAGGATTCTGCAAAGGAGGACAAGCGCCTGGGGACAAAGGTCTCTGCACTGAGTGCTGGAGCGCCAACTGGGGTAGTGAGGGCAGGGATCTTGGGAGATAAAACACAACAGCTAGCTGTCAGATCACCCCTTGTGTCTGCAGCTATTCAACTGCCATCTGTAAGGTTCCTGTGTTTCCCCAGCTCACTAAACACAAGAATCACCATCTCCCCTCCTCCTTTGCTTACTCTCAGAAATGAGCTCATTCACTCAATTAAGTGTGCCCTCAAAGGAAAGGAAAGGGGGATGATATGGGGGTGACAAGGGTTAAATCCTATTGTGCTCATGCCAACAACCATGGTGGGAGTTTGAGTGTGAGCCGCTGAGCCAGTTGGCAGTAAGGGTCCTTAGGAGTTACAGGACTAGGCTTTCTGTGCATGGGGTAGTGCCGGGAAAGGTGGGCCTGCGACAAAGGAAAAGGTGGCTGAGGGTGGGAGATGCAAGTCACCTCTGGCAATGGCCCTCTCTTTACTTTGAGCTTCACCCGTAGGTGGGAGAACAAAGAACGCAGCCCACCCCTACAGCATTATGTCCCAGCACTAGACCCCCTGTCCCAAATGAGCTCATCTCCCAGGCATCCCAGGCACTGGCTCCTACACTCCCAACAGTTCTATTACTTGGGAGGCTCAAGGGCAGATAGGTCACATTTCCGCATTCTTTTGATGGGTACCTGTGGAGAGTGTAGGGGTTAGGGGAAGAAGAGAGATTGGTTTGGGTGGGATCTGACTCATTGTCGTCTTTTCATTGGAATGTTTCAATCACTAATTCTCAGCCCTGGTGACCTCTAGAATCACCCAGGGAGTGTTTTTAAAAATTGATGTATAGCACTTCTGGCCTGGGCACCAGCATTTAAAAAAGCATGTTAGTAATTCTGATGTGCATCCGAGGTTAAGCACCTTAAGAATTACCCTCTATTGAATTTCAGAAACACCTGAATGAAGTTTCACTTGTACCAGCCAAAGGTGTTAAGAATTTGGACCTGAATTTGACAGTGAGTTACATGTCATACTTAGAGAATACTCCACTAGTCTTCAGATAATACCTAATCAATCACACAGAGGCAGATCACTGTAATCCAAATACACAGGGATTTGTTCAACCGTTTCCTTACTCATTGCCAGTGCGTGAGGCCTGTATGAGTCCAATCAATTTAGAAGAGGTATCATTCAACTTTAGGTCAATTGTATTATAAAGTTAGACACCATGAATTATTTTAAATCCTGGTTGTCATGGTATTAGAAAAATTAAAGTGTTCCCAGATCAGCTTGATTTAAGGAAATTGTAAGGAAAAAAATGTTCCCGTTAATTACTAGAAAGGCTGCCACCGGTTTCTGTCATGCCTACAACTTAAAGTTTTCAACATTTATGTGTAATTTATAAAGAGCCTAAAGATGTTGGAGAATTAGGTTGTGCTTATAAATATGTTTTACGACTTGTAAAAATTGGCAGCTGAATAACAACTAATTGATTCTTACAGCACCTGTAATCTATTTGGGACTAGTTTATGAATTAAACTTACTTTAAAAAAACCTCTCAGCGGTGAGTCCCAGAGGAACCCACATAGGATTGTAGGTAGAAAATTTTACTTACTAATTCATGTTGGTTAATATCAAGCATCAAAGATGTGTACCCAGGCCGCTTCCCGCAAGGAGTCATACAGGCGGTCATGCCGGGAACTGAGCCAGCTTGGTACTTGGCAGGATTTCCTCCCAAGGCTGCCAGGAGGTTCGGTAATCCTCTTTACAAGTGTTGTCACCAGGTCTCACTTCTGGCAGCCAATCAATAGATTTATCTCACTAAATCAGCAGAGGAGTATTTCAATGTGTGCTGGCAACAGTTACCTGGAAATAGCAATTGTGAGAGATGCTAAGGTAACCAATATTCCAGTTGCTGTAACCTTTCTAATTTTTTGTTCTTGTGAATGTTCAGTCTGCTTCTTTTTTTTGGCCAGGGTAGCTAATTTCCAGCTTTATTTTCTCAGGCAGGCTCATCCACCACCTCTGTCCTGTGGTTTGCATTCCTGAACATCTAGTAGTCTTTTACATGCAAGGCACAAAACTGACTTCATGGAGATCTAGGCAACAGTGTGGCTAGATCTGGGAGTGAACACAGGGCCTATCCCTCACAGATGAGAGGTCAGGAGCACTTTTGTCTCCCAAGGCAGATCCTTGGTGGCTTTACCTCCATACATTGATGTCTTTGCTGTGTTTAAGATGCATGTGTTGCTGAGTCACTGTGCAAAGCTCCTCAGGCTGGGGCTCAATAAACATTAAATCAGTCTTCCGCTGTGGGATTCATAAACCAAGTCAGTTACACACATGGAGTAACTACACAACCTCAGGATGGTCAAGGTCAAAGCAAGAATGAATCATGTCAAGAAAAACATGCTATTCAATCTGGATTTGTTGATTCCAACTAATTCCAGAGATAAACTCCTCATTTTGGGTCTTCTGTTTCCCCTCTACCCCCAGCTTCAGTAATGCCAGCATTTCAATATATGGTACCAAGCTCTGTTCGCCCCAAGATTGTACGTGTCTAAATCCACAGGGCCAGCAAAGTGAGAGCAGAAAACTTCATGCTTAATTTCTATACCATCATGAATCTGGATAGCTATTTAAATGTTAGCATTTTGTCACCCATTTCTCACATATAACTTGGGAAGTTCTGCAACTATCCACCACATGAGTTTATAAACAAAAATCAAGGGGATTCTAAAACATTCATACAGAGTCATAAATAAGATTTTCTGGTAGATCTAAAACACTACTTAAAAATGGATTTATGTACACTTTTTCAGGGACCCATTTATCCTGCAAATTGAGATGAACTAGTATACAGATGTTGGAGATGTAAAATGTTTATTTGGACTGAGTGAGAGTTGCAATATTGATTTGCTAAAGGATTTTTACATTCCCAATCAATCTTTGGAAGCAGAAAGCCTTATTTTGAAAAAATGAGTGTGCACATTTCTAAGAGGTTTTTGAATAGTTTTTAATCTGCTCTTCAACTCAATTTCTCTCATTCCCCACTCTTTGTTTCTTGATTTTGCCTTTTTATGCTACTTTTCCATATTATCTATAAAATGCCTCCTCTCTGGAGTCCCTTCTGCACCAGTAAGGGGAGGTGATGGGATTTAAGTATCCATCCTCTGGTCAGTCCTTATAAAGTGAATAATGGTAGAAAGAAACCCTAACTGATTCCACTGCAGAGGGCAGGCTGCACAAAGCTCGGAGTGGGGCCACAGCTCCCCATTTATTATGGGGTCTTGGAGCTCACACAATTAGTCATTTCACAGAAAAGTTCCAGGGCAAGGTGGGTAATAGGAGTTTGCACAGAATCTTTACAGGGCCCTTAACCTGACAAATCTCACAGAGAGTTCTCAGGAGGGCCTGACAACGAAAGGTCACATGTGTTCCATTTTGATGTTTGAGTAAAGTCTCTGGTCCCAGAACTCATCTCCTCCTTCTGGAAAGACATCTAATGAGGGACAGAAAGTTATACCACCAACCCCTAGTTATTGCCAAGCAATGAAAACAATCCTTTTGACCTGGAAAAATTAAATAAAGACTCCACACTTGACCTCAAGGTTAGAAGTCAGGCACTAGGCTTTTCTCCTGAGTCCAGAACTTGGGTGCTCACTCTAGAAAGTCAGGCCAGTCACAGGGGTAAGAGGCCCAGTGCTGCAGCACAATGTGCTCTCAGCAGTCAGACATGGCAGCTTGGCCACTGCCTGTGTGCCCACAAACAGGCTCCTGTGAGAAGACAGTTCTGAAGCTACTGTTCTTTGCACTAAAATGCAGGGGGTTACTGACTTGGTTATTAGAAAGAAGATCCGGCTAGGCGCGGTGGCTCAATCCTGTAATCCCAGCACTTTGAAAGGCTGAGGCAAGGGAATTGCCTGGGCCCAC